GTGCACTGCGAAAGTGCTCTCCGACAAATGGTCTTAGCATGTAAGAGCAAAGAAAAACCATCCCTGTTCTTAATTAACCCTGTCTGTGTTTTGAAGCTGACTGAAGATATCAAATAGCTCAGGATGGTCCTTTGGAAAGAGCTAGTTGGATATATTTGGCCATTTGTAACAATACTTGTTTGTAAGCAACAATCAGCAGGGGGTTTTATAATGGGCATGATGTAAATGTATATAACAAGCCAGGTGTTCTGCAGAGGGGCTTTTTATCATCCTGTCCCAGTTTTTCCCTCTTACCTTCCTTAGCTCCCTTGCAAAGGAATCAGTTGCGCTATCACATTACCAATTGGCAATGGCAGCAGCTGGCTGTAACCCAACCTTAGCAGCATGGGACACGGAAACAGATGGAGCAGCAAATGCTCTTTGTTTCCTCTCCTGCTTTCTAAAACAGATTGTGACTAAAAACATACAGGAGAGGTTTCTGCCATCTTCCCTGCTACCGTGGCTCCCTGCTGCTGGCAAAGCTATGGATGAGCTCTAGCAGAGCTCCCCACAGCAAAAGAGAGCTTTGCCTTTTTAGAGGGGAGCTGAGAACAGGAAAAGAGCATCGGATACAACAATTACAAGCCCTGAGAAGGGAAAGAAGGGTGCAGTGGGTGAGATGGCTGAACTGAGTTGAGGGCTGCCCATGCATCAAGTCTTGCTCCTCCTGCTGCTCTCACTCTTGGTTCTGGTGTTCATCTGAGCCTGGGTGAATCTTATCAGCCCACTAAACTGGCACAAACCAGAAGTGAGTGGTGTTTTGCCAGGCTGGTAACCTGAACCAGCCCAACAAATGTTCAGGCGAACACTGGGATGAGGATGAGGAGCAGAGCCACAAACCAGAACAGGCCAGGAGGAGAGGAGAAAGGGGGAGAAAGGTGGAGGTGGCAATGTCCCTTGTGAACCAGGAGGTCAACTCTGCTGTCCTGGGTAGTCCTTGTCCCAAAGCTAGGCAGAGATGGGAAGGGAAGTGATGCTTCCAGGTCACTTTCTGTGATCCAAACTCTGAGGCTGCGGGCAGCAAAGGTCAGGAAAATGTCCACAGCAGAGCTTTGCCTGCCTTACTTCAAAAGTCCCACAAACTCCCCAAAATAAGGGGCATATGTCCCTGCCACCACATCAGTTGCAGGTTCCCAAGTGACTTTTACACTTACCTGTGTCTGGTAAGAGCTCTGCTGCTTTCAGCCCAGCCCTCTAAGGATTTACTGATGGGTGCAAACACATGAGCTGGGCAACGTTGCTCACTCTGCCCTGCAGAAGACATTATCCACTGGAAAACGTGACACTGTGTGTGGGTTGGCTGCACAAGTCCCACCAGCAGCTGCCGTGGTGGGGGACAGCTGCCCAGCGCAGAGGTGGGAGGACAATGCCAATGACACTGAGCTGACACCACAGTGTGCACTCAGCAACGTGAGCAGTGGTGACAGAGCAGTCCCACCTCACTGTCACTCCCTGCTCCTCTGCCTCTGGCTTCATGAGCTGCCTGACCAGTCTGGCTTTGCAGTGGCTGGTGTTTGTGCCAGACCATGTAATACTGTTGTAGGTACTTGCCAAGAACTTTTATTTCTTAACCACAGACAGAATCTGTAAATCTTCAAGCTAATCCTGCAGTCTGATGGGTTCTTTTTCTTACAAGGCTTTATAAATTAATTGAATCCCCATTTCTGTGAGGAACCTGCAAGGAAAGTCCCACAGACAGAACTACAGAGTTAAAAGCAGACGGGGACTTGCAAGGTCGCCTTTGCCATTTCTCACCAGTGCAGAGGCTCTTCTGGGGGTATTTCTTGCTGGCCTTGTCTCCTGGGGCAACCATTCAGACATTTACCTCAGATCCTGTCAGGGTAGTTTGCATTATAATCTGCCTGAGTTTTCTCAGCTTCATCCCATTATTCCTGCTCTTCTTAACTATCAAAAAAAAAAAAGCTCCATTTTGTTGTTTATAGATGTCCCCAGCTGAAATACCTGCAGGTTGTTACTTCTGTATCCTTCCAGGGAAATAATACATATTTGTTTTCTTTAAACTTAATCCCTTTTACCCTCAGGTAGTGTCTTGCACTCTGCCTGTGCACTGCCTGCTTACTGATACATACTGATAACAAAAAGTCCTATAATGAGCACAAGAAGTGGTTTATTAGTCTTTATCTTTTATCCTTTCTTCTACAGTCAAGGGTTTGAGGCCCAGCCATGCTCCTGCTGAACTCAGTGGGAACGGCAGCAAGTTCTTTGCTCTACTGCGTAACCACAGGGCGAAATGAAGTTTCTGAACTTGTGGTTGCTGACATTGCAATGCCAGACATCCTTGTTTGCATTTGCTGCACCACCTTTGTCAGGCAAGCCCCGTTCCTCTCAGCATCCAGGTATTCAGCTTTAGGCAAACCACTTTGAAAGCAGTTCTTTGCTAGTTCTTTAAACATCTTGGAGATCTACTAAGCAGAGCAACTCAACGAACAGGTTCTTGTGTTTTGAGTGCTGGCAGCCTGAATACATGCGTCTCCATCCAAGTACCTCCATGGCCACCCTTTGTGCAAGTACAGAAATGAGGTAATGGCCACAAAGGTGCTGGACTTCATTTGTTCATCCTCCCATTTGTCATTTCCTTCTTCCGTGCCGCCAGCCCTCCGCCCCACCTTTAAACTAAGAGAATTCTAATGGCTGATTGAAGAATGACTCTAAATTTGGTGCGGGCAATAGAGGCAGTGCAGGCAGGAGGAACAGTGCAGGCAGGAGGAGCAGTGCAGGCAGGACAGGCAGTGCCAGCAGGCGGCGCAGGCAGGAGCGACACAGGCAGGAGATGGCGCGGCAGAGAGCACAAGTGTGCGGTCCCACATGGTCTAGCGGTTAGGATTCCTGGTTTTCACCCAGGCGGCCCGGGTTCGACTCCCGGTGTGGGAAAGCCCCGTATCTTTTCTTCCTCTTACGCCTTTATTCTAAGGGGAGATCATTTATTTATCATTCGTAAATTCTGCGAGATCCCTTTTTAATTCTTAGACAACTAATTTTTTCTAAATGTCCCAAACTCAATGAACAGCTCATTTTAGACTTAAAAACCCTGTGCGAGAGCTGCAGGATCTTTTAAGGATTTCAAGATTTCAGGAACTTTGTTGGAAATTACATTAAATGACACGGCAGCCTGATAGCTTCACAAAACCAGCGGTTGAGTTTGGTTTAGATATGTCTATACGCAATAGCAAAATAATCATTTCAGGAGGCAATGTTTGTTTGTAACTTCTCTTTATATTGTTTCAGTTTTGTAGGACAAAAGAGAAAGAACCTAAACTCCCAGCCATCGTTGCTTACTTGGTGCTGACTTCAGCAGGAAACCCACTCAATGTTATCTGCATTACATTGAACAATTGGCTAAAATTTACTGCCTGTTATTAAATGTAAATACAAATGAGCCACTTTGTGGGCTCCCAGGGGAAACAAAGCACTGTTAATGAGACAAGCAGGGTTTGTTTCACAAAACACTACTTACTTTCTGAGTTAAACTGTTCAGCATCAAGGCTCCTGCAATCCTCAGGGGCTTGGCCAAGAGCTGCGCCTGAATGCTGGGTCAGCGGCAAGTGAAGTTATACTTGGGCTGATCTGGCTAGAAAGCCGTTAGATAGCGGCCTTCTGAAGGGGTGAGGTGCGGAAGGGCACAGCCATAATGCTGTTACTGCTAAACTTAATGAATCCTGTCGAGCCCTCAGCCAAGGGGTCAGACCACAGACGCTGTTGAACTGCTGTATCAGAACTGATCACAAAGGAATATAAACAGTTTCACACCCCCCCCCCCCCCCCAATCCATGACCTAACTTGCTCTCCAACCTAAGTGAGTCTATGATTCTATGATTCCAAAGTTTGAATCTATCCCTCTCTCCTACAGTAAATACCAAGCTTGAAACAGCAACCCCAGACCATCATCTGTTTGGCCCAAGACAGAAGTATTTCACCAGGATGAGCACACAGAACACTTCCTCCCGTGCTCAGGCTCCAGCCTCAGCAGCTCAGGGAGTTCTGGAGCCGGACATGACTCACGCAGTGTGTGCGTTTGTCACAACCAGCCAGTTCTTTTCACCTGCCAAACTCCAAAACTCCAATCCCATCCCCAGGGCGATGCCCAAGATGATGTGCTTATACTGGAGATGTTAGTGCGAGAACCTGAACACAGATGTTAACTGGCCCGCCTACACTGGATAGACTCTGTGTACAGTGCAGTAAGCTTGGAAAGAGCCAACATGGCTTTTGAAGCTGACTCTAAACCACTCATGGTGACACGGTGCCCAGGAAGGGAATGAAGTGACTCCCAACAGAGCCAATACAGCCAGCCTGGACGAGACCCCTGGGCAGGATAGCGGCTGGGGCGCACAACAGCCAGCCCCAGGGCCCCTGCGGACCGCCAGAGACGGAAGGCTGGGGGGGGTTGGGGATCCGGGCAGAGGAACGGGCGTTGGAACAGGCACGGGCGTTGGAACGGGGGGACCCACACGGGTGTGGAACCGATGTCAAGCGTCACCCCCTCACGGGGACCGTCCTCTCCGCCTGGAGCGGGCCCGCCGAGCTCTCGCGAGAATGTTGGGGCCGTGACAGCTCCCCCCCTCCCGTCCTAAGTATCGCGACTATTCAATCCCCCGCTTCCGGGCGCGATGTCTCGCGAGAGTCGGCGGGTGCGGGCATGCGTGCGGACGTTGTCTGGCCGTGCGTCTCGCGAGAGCCCCTGCGCCGGACCCTGGGCGGCCCCGTGCCGAGCGCCGAGCTGCGAGCAGCGAGTGGCGGCGGGCGCCATTTCGGGGAGCAGCCGCCGGTGCCACAGCCGGGGCCCAGCCCGGGTCCGGGGACCGCCCGCCACGGTCGCGCTTCCCCTCGCCGCCTGCCGCTCTCGGGCTGGCCGAGCGGCGCCGTCCATCTCACATTCAGACCCCTGTGGAGGGCTCCTGAGCCCTCGGGCCCATCCCCCACCGCTAGCGCCGCAACCAGGAGCCGAACCTCGGGCATCCGAACCAGGACAGCACCCGCCCACGGCGCAGGTAGCTACCGGGCGGGGAGCGCTCACCCCGCTGCTTGGGAGAACTGCGGCCTGCTCCGCGGAGCGTTGAGGCCTTGGCCTGCGGGCGGCCCGGGAGGCCTATGCCCCTCCCGCCGCCATGGCCGTCTTCCTCCGGCCTGACCGCCCCTGTGCCGTGTCCCTAGGGACCGTCTCTGGTCTCCCCGCCGGTGCTCCCCTTGCGCTCTTTTGCGCCCGGGGCACTCGGCGGCTTGCCTGAGACCGCGGCCTGGCCGTGAGGGGTTCTGTGGTTCCTATGGCCACGTAGCGGGCGGGCCCGGCCGTCCCCGTCGCGCCGTTGTCCCTCCCCGAGCTCCCCCACGATGGCGCTGTGCAGAGTGACCAGCCCTGGCCGGCGCGGGGCTCTAGCCCTGTGTTCAGAGCTGGCAGGGCCCGGGCGGGGAGCGGCCCCGGGGTCTGCGTTGGGAGATGGGGCGGGCCGGCGCGTTGGCTCTTGGTAATCTGCGGGCGCGCAGGGGACGAGGCGAGGCGCTCGGAGCAGGCCGGAGCCCCGGCGGAACGGGGCGGGTTTGGTCACCGCGGCGGAGTGGTCGGGAATCCGATGCTGTTCGTTGCGATCGCACGGAGGGAGCATGCGGGTGGGAGCCATCCGGGCGTAGGTGCCTCCCCGAAGCGTCGGCCTTCTCCCTAAACTCTCCTGATGCTTTTCCAGGAGGCTCCTTGCAAAGCGAGAATGGAATTGTCATCTCCTGGAATTCCTAAAGCAAATAATGGCGAGGAGAGGGCTCCTTTTATGTAATAGAACACAGCAAAAAGATGGAATCTGTCGTCAAAATACTGGCTAGGCCAGTAGCAGTAAATTTCGTGCCCCTTTAGGTTTTCTGTAGACTCACAAAATCTCAAGTGTAGTTCATCCCTTGTTTGTTTTGACGTTTTGGGGTTTTTCTTGTGTTTTTGTTTATTTGTTTAGGGGGTTTGTTTTCTTGTGACACATGTCAGGCATATGCAGAATTTTTTGAGCAAGCCAAAAGGTTTTTATAAATTGCTTTGTGCTTCAGTGCTTAATGACAGATACTTGAGAATCTGTTACGATTTTCTACTAATGTGAAATGAATAAGGACTTTTGATTATTTTTTAAAGAATAACAACTTTATATGTGGCATTATTATGTGCATTACATGAATTAATGTTGATGGTAGAACTGTGTTATATGAACAGAAGGTATTCTGATAAAAACATAGTATCACACCAATGAATGTGTTATGTACAGAGTACAAAGAGCACGGATTGCACGGGGTGAGACCAAAGGTCTGTGTAACTCAGGATCTGGTCTGTGATGGTGGCCATCAGTAAATGCCTGTGAAAGAATAGAAGCAGCAGGAAGTGGGACAGCGATACTTCTCTCTGTGTGCTCTCAGTCACATAGTTGTGGTTCAGGGTCACAAGGCATGTCTTTGTTTAATGGAAAGCTTTTTCTGTCAGCTTTCGTGGGTTTTGTTTTTGTTTTGCCTTTGTTAGCATCCCTACTGCTCTGTAACAGTGAATTCCATGGCTAAATGCTGTGTGAATAAGAACCTTTGTTTTGAAGCCACCGGATGACAGTTATTTACTTTCAGTAGTTGGGTCACTGCAGTAATATCTGCTCCCTGTTCACTTTTCTATGCCACTTCTGACTTGGTGGTCCCTGTTCTGGCCCCCGCCATCCCTCAGTGGAATGAAGGCTCCCACCACAGGTTGGTTGATACGTTGGCTAAATGACACATATGGACGTGTCATTGCAGGTGGGAGTTTGGTTGTAGAGTCCTGGGATTGGCTTGGGGCTTTTGATGTCCTTAATCATACTGAGGTACTTGTTCATACCAAATACTGACAGAGCAGCGGTGAATTAAATCATGTGCATAAATCATGTTTGTAGATAAGTTGAAAAGCCAAAAAAGTAAAATTGAGCCATTAAGCTAAAGATGATCATGTTTGTAAGTGAGAGTACTATAGCCCAAGAGGTAATACCTTGAAACTCAGGTTACCATGCCTCAGTGAAGTAACTGAGTGTGAATTTACAGTATTCTGATACTGTAAAGAATTATGTTTTACTTTTCATTTTATTAATGAGCAGTGGTCAGATGTGAGTGGGAGAGTGATTTAATCCTTAGGCATGGTGCAGCTCTGGTATGATAATCTCCCATTATGAGTGAACAATTTAAAGGCTGTTGGAGTGATTTCATTCTGCTGGTCAAATCTCCGGATGGCAACATTTCAGCACAGTTCCTACAGGAATACCTGTAACAAAGGTGTAAGAACTAACTTGTATCTTCAAAAATCTATTTTATGGCACACATGCAGGAAGTTTCCCTCTTGGGCTGTCTGACTTGAATCTGGAGGGCTGGCTGTTTCTGAACCTAAGAAAGCGTAAAAGAGAGACACTGTTGTATTAAGAGATTGGAGGAAGTTGAGTCTCTGTATTTCAGTGTAGAGTCTTGAGAGGTTCTTAATAGCAAACCTGCAACAGGAAAGAAAATAACATGTCAAAGGGATTCAGAGTGTAATAAATGCATAATTACATTGGGGGGTTGAAGTTGAAAATAAGGGGAACCATTTAAAACAACCAACCCAAACACGTGTGGTGATTGGTGTTACATGGCTTGGTGGATTTCTTTCTCTCTGGCGTCTGAGGTTCGAGGCTGGATGGATCTTGTGTATGCTTCAGCAGCTCTTAATGCCTGAACCATAACTCTGTCTCTTGTGGCCCTCATTATGCAGGAGGCCAAATTTCTTAAAGGACATTAGTGTTGACAAGTTTTCAGCTCAGTAAATGTGGTAACAAATGCTGGGAAGCTGTGAACAGGTTTGCCTGAATGTTTGTACTGTGTTCTTTACATGTCGCTCAACTCCTTTGATCAAGCTCTGGTAGTTCTCAAGATGGCCACCAGACCTGTGTTTCTGTATCATAAATCATCTGTGCTCTTTGTTTTGAAGGAAATACGTGGACACCTCTGGGGTTTCCACTGGCTAATTGTGTTTGGTAGCATTTTGTTGTCTGCAGCTGTAATTGCTTTGTGTCACATTCTTCCTCATCTCAGTGGGCAAAGCTTCATTCCAGTTCTTGTTGGAAATGTCTTCTGAGACACTGGTTTTTCAATTTGAGCTAATGCATTGGTGACCTCTTAAGGAAAAGCCTTTGGTATATAAAGCATGAGGATGTTTTTGTTCTCAGGTGGATTTTGCTTCTTCTTTCAGGTATCCTGAAAAATGGCTGATGATATTGATATTGAAGCAATGCTTGAAGCTCCTTACAAGAAGGTGAGAAAAATCTGCCAGTGAGGTCCTGTTTACCTTAATTTAGCATTATTCATGAAACTACTGCTGAACTGTAAACTAACATCCCTGGAGCCCTCATGATTTATCTTATTGGAGATGCATTACATGTAACTTACAAGTAAATATATACTGTTAATGTAATTATATTGTGCAGTAGTTTCACTTCAGCGTGATGAATAAATGCCCATCTATCTCTCTTTGTAGACTTGCCTAACGATATCTCACCTCTACTCCCATGAATTCACCTTTGATTCCAGTGTGAACTGTCAATCATAAGGTAGTAATTGAGTGACGTATCGCTGTACCGTGGTCCCCTAGGTTTAAACAAACAAAAAAAAGAACCAAAAGCAACAACCAAACAAAAAACCAAAACAAAACTACCCACAAACCAACCAAACAAAACCCCCACAACCAAAACCAAGAAAACAAAAAACCTCTCCTAAAATTGCCAGGTCCAGTTTGGTATAGCAACAAGGTGAATGCAGTGGTTTGGGAAGACAGCAGGGTTCCAAGAATAACCTTTTCACCAGTCCCATGGCAAGTAAATATTTGAACAGTCTGCTCGGTGCAAGAAGAGTGAGACTTGCTTTTAATGCAGAAGGCTGGTGGTGGTTAATCTTTTAACAGGGCAGATGAAAATTCATTGCTGAGTGAACGAATTGATGGAAATTCTTGGATCCCTGAATAGAACATTCTTACCAAGTAAAAGACAGTATCACAGTCTGCGGTGTCATTCCAAAATAAGCTCTTGTATTTCTCTGTCCGAGTTGTTGAATTAGGAAATGTCTATTTTTTTAATGCAAAATTTTTCTCAATGAGCATAGTGATGTCTTTCCCATAGACCAGCAGCAAATGAATACTGTCTTTTGTTGTTTTCCACCAAATGGTGGTGAAGTGTTAACATTATGCATGCTTTAGTACTGGTGTCACAAAACATGTATGTTCAGTTTAAGTCGCTTAGGAATTGTTCTTTTGATGTAAGTGATGTGATTAAATTGTAAAGCAAGTATATAAATTCTATAGCAGTTCTTGTTAGTCTATTCTGCAGTGTTTATTGCAACCATGTGATGAATTTTGGATGAGCATTTGTAAGTTTTAAGTGGTATAATTTTTTTTATGTAATACTTAGCAGTTACGTTAAAATCTTGAAGAGAAATTTGTAAATTGTTATGTTTAAAATTCTTGTGTCCTGGTTTAACATGGATATTTTCCATGTAAACAGGTATGGAAATAGGGAATGTTTAGGCTGGACTGGTGGATTATTGATGACTTTCTTGGGAGTCGACGTTACTAAAGCAGTGTGAATCCCTGTTTGCTTCAGGGCGAGATGTGTGACAGAGGTGACATCAAGCTCTTACAACCCTTCAACGAAAATGAGTGAAGATCTCGGGAATGGCATCGGTCACAGGAAATCCATAGTGGCTGCTGCTAGCGTAGCCACCGGGGCTTAGGCAGACATATAGCCTTGGTACTTACCAGAGGGGCACACAAACACAAACCTGAAACTTCCTCTTACATGTTATAGAAATAACAGTTAACCACTTGAGTGCTGAATTCTACAGGATAACTTGCTCTCTAAACCATGTAAGGAAGTACCTACAATTTAATACACACTTTTAAATGATGTAAGTCTTGTATTTTGTAATTGTATGACTTAAATATAAGCAGCAAAGTGGTTAAACATGCTTATCTAAATTTTCTAAATCTTTCCACATTAAACTGCAAACAAGTAATTTAGTATTATAATTTTTGTTTTGTATTTTCTTATTCCTATTCCCATTACCCTTTGACCACTTGAAATGTTTCCGCTTCGTCCTCATGATGTTCTTCTATCAACCCTGCTTAGGATGAGAACAAATTGAGCAGTGCCAATGGCCATGAAGAACGCAGCAAGAAGTGAGTCTTTTCTCAGTTCTCTGCATTTTGGGGGAGGCTGCTGGGTTTTGTAAGCTTGCAAATGCATGTCAGTATTGTTTAGGGTTATAAAATGGAAAAGCTTGGTATCTGCAAGTGCTACAACTACAGCAATTAGGAAATGTTCTCTTTGTTTACAGATGTAGTTACTCCCTTGTAACTGGTGTCATCAAAAGCATGGAAACATTTAATGTTGGCGTTATTTAAAAATACAGTCTTGTTACATTCAGCATATTTAATTTTTTATTTGTTGCATTAGCAATGCAGTGGATTTTGCATTTTAAAAATGGATTTGGTGTAGAATTTTATGTGCTTTGGAACAGTTCAAAGCCTTTAAAGATAACTGGCACCTTGAGAAGTTTTGGGGTGTTGGATCCCTTCCCTCTATTCTCACCACATACAAAAATTTGCAAGTTTTTTCTTTGTAATCTAAACTCTGAAATTATAACATTTTCAAACAAGCAGAGTCCAAGCCCAGCTTCTTCAGGAAGTGTAATTCCAGGGTCAGAACACTGCTGCTGACCCAGCCTGTATGGAATAAAATCCTTGAAGAAAAATGCTTTGCATAAGAGTCAAATACTCCAAATAAATAGAAGGGGTTTAAGTCTGAGAAATAAATTCTCTACCTTACAAGCATCATTTGATGATGTGATAGTTGATGTAGGATGAATAATTGTCAATTTGATAGTTCACTGAACAGTAACCAGTGTGTGTCTGTAATACACAGCTCACTTGAGTGTCAACATGTGTGCTGTTGTCATCTTCTGAAATCAGAGAGATTCATTCATGATGGGGATCCAAAGAACATGTATTTCCAGAGAAATGAGCAGTCCATTTCCAACAGTCTTAGGTTGGAATCTAATAATCTAAAATTGATTATATCTTACATGTGTGTTTGAACAATACTGTGCTGGCTATTAAAGCCCTATCAAAAGCAGCTGTTCCCAATATTTTTAAGTTCTGCATTTTTGTTTCTTTAAAATACATACATGGCATCTAGTACCCTGCTTTTGTTTGCCTGCCGTGTCTCAAAATAGAAACTGGGATTTGAAAAAAAGAGTGGGGTTTAAATCTTAGAAATGGTTCTGACCTTGATTTGTGGTAGAATTAGGAGAATACTGGAATATATTTCAGTTCATTTCCTTAGTTGCTGCAGCCTCTCTGAGACCAGAACAATGGCATTTGCTGTCTTTCTGCGCATGGTTCCATTTTATGGTGGACCTGTATGTTCAGAGTTTATATTTACAATTCAGAAAAACAGTAAACTAAGTTTAGAAGGGAAAGTTATTGTAGAAGATAAAAAAGTCAAGTGTTTGCTGCTGTCTTGCAGTGTCATTGTGTGGAGTTTCACTTCGTTCTCTGGTTTTCTAACGGTACCCTCGTGTCTGTTCAGAAATGTTGCTCCTGTGGCGTATTCCCCATTTCAGTTTTTGAGTTAACTTGACTGGAAGTCTGCCCACAGCCGTAGAGAGTACCAGGGATGAACCCTTTGAAAAAGGGGAGTATGGCCTAAGAAGTTAAATGCATGAGTGACCGCTTTGACAGAAGATGCTGTGTGCAATCTGGAGCCCCAAAAGGAGGAGAGGAAAAATTCAGTAGCAAAGGATGTTGTGAATTTCAGAAGTTTAGCAGCAAAATTGCTTATTCCCCAAATGTAGTTTGAGTTAAATTACTTCAAGTAATTGGCTTGAGCATCTGTTTAACATATGTTTTATGTATGTATACACAGATACGTGTTTTAAAAACTAAGAGACTTCAGTTTTCATGGTCTGAGACTGAGATGGAAAGGAAAAAAACCTGCAAATAACCCAAAAGTGGGTCAGTGGTCTTCAGATGTGAGGTATAATTGGCATAGACATATAAAAAGTTGAAATTTTCCAACTGAATGGTTACAGTGATGAAGATCTGCAGTTTCCTCCAACCTGTAAGAGCTGCAGATTTGGAAGAGGAAGTGGCTTATGAGTGGGAGTAGCAAGTAGGAAGCAAAACTCTTAGGCAATATGTGAAGGCTGATGGCAGGGAGTACCAAGAGAAAACCTTTCTTTCCCTCAGACTTGTCTCTTCCTTTCTACTTCTATTGTGTCTTGTTTTATTTTGCTCTAAAAATATAATTTATTCTTAGCATCTAGGTGGTGTATTTGAAGTATGTTTGAAAGGCACACGAAGTATTGCATTTATTATGTACAGGAAGGTCTTTTATAAGTCTTTTTATTCTTCCTGGAAACATTTTTTCAGCGATTATATAATTTTAGGTAAGAAAGTGCTTTGGAGCACCTTGTTGTGGCTCATGATAAGTTTGAGAGCTTGAGACATGCTTAACCACCAAAAGACACTTGTAAAAATACCAACAAGCAGAAGGGTTTTCCTGTCAGTGTGACATCAGGTCAGAGGAACTGTGGAGTGTGAGATGAGTGACAGCACTGAGCCTGTGTGTAACCAAAGATGCGTTTTCTTTCTCAGGAGAAAAAAGAGCAAGAGCCGAAGTCGAAGCCATGACAGGAAGAGGAGCAGAAGCAAGGAGCGGAAACGGAGCCGCGATCGGGAAAGGAAAAAGAGCAGAAGCCGGGAAAGAAAACGGAGCAGAAGCAAAGAACGCAGACGCAGCCGTTCCAGGAGTAGAGATCGCAGATTCAGAGGCCGCTATAGAAGTCCCTAGTAGGTTACTGATGTGGGGTTGCATGTGTGCTGCTTCAGTGTATGATGTGGAAGCTTAAAGTTTCACTCTCTGCTTTCTGTGTTGGTCGCTAATCGTCTTGGAAAAGGTGAGAGGTTAGGGCTGGAGAGCGTCAATAAATATGGTGTCAAGAGGAGGAAGGCAGTATCGTATCCAGTTCCTCCTGCTAGTTTGCATTCCTACCTGAACTCAGAAATGAAAATCAAGTGAAGGTATGTGTACAGCTCTGGAAAACAAGGTTCATCACAAAACTAAAAAAGCAAGTTTTCTACATGTCCTCCTTATCTTCAGTGTATGGACCTGATGGTTTAACTGTCAGAAATGAGTAACAGCCTGGCTTCAGTTACAGGCTCATAAAACCTTTTGCTTGTATTACAAAGGTTTTTACTGGGTTGCTGCTCTTAACCATTTACTGCATAAACAATTCCGTGTTTATGCATCCAGACTGGAAGCATCTTGTTTTACCAATGCCCACACATTGCATACTTGCCCTGCTTTCTCTCAGACTTGTTTAGAAGAATTCTTCAGTTTCTTTCAGATACTTGGCTTGCTAGCACTTCTGCTATGCGTAGTTCCTGATAGTTGCAAGTCATTTCTCCAAACCCATCTTTTCATTGGTATTTATTCTGTGCTTCTGCTGTTCTGTATCCCTGCCCTCCCCTTTGCATCCCCTTCACTGGTGAGAACTGGGCTGTGTGTTTGGCTTTCACCCGAGGCTGCTCTTTGCGTCTGCTTTTGTCTGTGTCTCATCCCAACTGTTGTCAAATCTCAGAATCATGTCAGAATTAGCTTTTGAAAAGGATGTGTATTTTTAATCATGGCACGTAATGTTATCCACGATGGAGAAAACTCTCAGGATGCTAGAGAAGACACTGTTTACCTTCTGAGAAACTGCAGGCTTGCACAGGTTTCTGCACATGAATGTTTTTCTAGATGGCTGGATTCCAACCCAGGAAAACACATTCCTTTTTGAAATGCAAATAAGAAATGAGGTCTCATTTTGCACCAAGTCAGCTGGATGTTGGCATTTTCACAATCACGGAATGGTTTTGGTTGAAAGGGACCTTAAAGTTTATATAGTTCCAACCTGCCTGCTGTGGGCAGGGACACCTTCCACTAGACCAGATTGCTCAAAATAGTGAAAACCTAGTGCAGCTCCTGGCTCTGAGATGCAGTGGCATCCTGTGCTTCCATCCATCCTGTGTATTTGGGATCATAGATCGTGTCCGCCCAGCTTTGGTTTGTCTTCAGGAACAGGCCCATCAGCCTCTGTGAAGCTGCTCCAGGTTTCAGCTCTGAAGATTTCAGCTGTGCACAGTTGGAGTGTTATCTGCAGTTTTTTGGCACCCATAAGATTGAAGTAGCTGTTGGGTTCTGCCAGTGCTACTGTCGTGGCTCCAAACTGCCATGTGCACTTGATCAAGATCTTCAGCCTTCCAGATATGGAGCCTGCCAGTCTTGTCACCTCCAGTGTGGGGTTGTGTGGAGGAGATGTCCTTCATCTTACCATTTGGTTCAGAATTGCTGGATTCTCCTGGCTGTCTCAGAGGGCTTTCTTCATCTGGAGAAACTCGGAGGCTTTAGTGTTCAGTCTTCCAAGCCAGTTTCCTCAAGAAGAGATTGAAAGGATGGCCATGACTACAGAACCTCATGCCTGTTTTAATGACTCAAGATACATTGTGCCAGGAGGAAAATGGTTGTGAGGGATCTTTTTCATTGTTATGATACTTGTCTATAGCTGTTCTGGGCAATTTCTCTGGTATTGCGGTGTATTGAACAAAATATAGATAGTCATTGGTTTGTCTTGCTACATTTGGATTGAAACGGAGAACACCATGTTTTACATCAGGAGGTGTGAAGATGCACAGTAATCCTGTCTCTGCTAAGAAGCCAACCTGTAGAATTAGTACCAGCGTTTCCAGCTGCAGCCTTGGCAGGATGTGTGGTGGACATTGGAGAACCTGAATGGACACACTCAGCTTTTGTTTGTTTGAACTGGAGTAGGAAATGGAGTAATTTATCCTAGGCAAAAAGTCTGCTTTTGATGAGTAGTGATCTCATCTCAACATGTGCCTGGTTTTGTGTTATCTTTTCTCTTAATAACTAGTTATTTTCTCTTAATAAGTAGTTTCTAAATGGTCTTTTTTTTCTTTATTCTTTTTCCAGTGTTACCCAGGACCATAGTTCCCCTGCTTTAACCTGGCCAGCATGGTTTTAGATTTTGGCCCACTACTTCTACTTATGTCATGACATGTTTAAAAATGAGCATCCTTCTCCTTGTTGTGGATGCTGTGTTTAACCAGAAGCGTTCCTGCTCCACTGAGTAGCAAGATGATGTTTATCAGACAAATTGGTTGGCTTAAATGGATTTAGTGAAAGACTAGTTGATGTTTTCAGCCTGCTGTGTCTTTCAGACTGCTTTCATATCAATTTATAGCCACAGCAGAAAGAATCAAGTCTGCAGATGGAAAGACTAAGCCCCTAGCATTCAGTCTGTGAGCAGTGCCTCTCCTGTTCAGTGGATATACAAGAGGAACATTAACAGGTGGTGTTCTTTTGCTTGTATCTACAAGGAGATCAAGTTCAGGGAGAACAAGATAGGCTGAATCTTTCTATTCATGTCACAGACTGTTACCCTGTGCCACAGTAACTAGCAAGAGGACTGTCCTTATCGTGGAAGCAGTGGGCGGATTGCCATGTGTTCTGATACCTTCTGTGATGCCTGGAGAACTAAAATTAGCTTCAGCCAGGAGACTGGATTCCTTCTGGGTGACATGTCTATATAAAGTTAACTGCTGGCTTAGTTGGTTCTTTGTTTTGATGTCCTAGTAAGAACTTTACTTGAAGGAAGCAGTATTTACATACTCGTACCATGTGGGTCCACCTGAAACAACATTAGTGAATGCGTCTCTCGCAGGGAGCGACTTTGCTTTCCCCTTGCACCTTAAATTTCATGAAACTTTCTGTTTTAAAATGTTACATCTGAGCAAACAGTCCTGTCATCACCACAAACCCATCTCAAAACTCTGAGGCTGAGTTCCAGGCCGCTAAGGTACTGCTTTGCATTCACAGTAGGTAGAAAATGCCTGTGGACAAGTCAGATAACAGCAGTGACTGTAGCTCAGAATATTTTGCGTGTACAAATGTGCCACGTATGGCTGACCCATGATTTAGTTCTTCCTTGGCGTCCTGCCTATGCTGGGGTTTTGTGACAGTTGAAACTGAGCAGGAAGAATAGTCTGTGCCTTACAGTTTGGAGTGCTGCACGTAGCGTATGCATATGATGGGTGCTGCTAATGGAAAATGTTCACAAGTTCAGGTGTGAGGGTGGGTGAGCACCTCCAGTGGAATGGGGGCACACACTGGAGATGGTGAATGGGGTACTCTAGTGAGTAACATCTGTCTTTGCTTCTACCGTAGTTCTGGTCCAAAATTCAACAGTGCCATCAGAGGGAAGATTGGTCTGCCTCACAGCATCAAATTAAGGTTGTTTTCTTTGCTCTTTATTGCATCTGCTTAAAATCAGACTGATGTATTTGAAGGTTTTCTAATAATCTTGTCGATCTCTCTTCATAGCAGAAGGCGCTCCAGAAGCAAAAGTCCCTTCAGGAAAGACAAGAGCCCTGTTAGGTAGGAATTTTTACACGTTTGTAATGGGGTTTGGTTTGTTTTTTTAATTGAAGTTGGAAAAGTAATGGTGAAATAATGCATGTGTACTTGCTCTCCAGCTTATACTCACAAGTAATGCTGGAATTCATTCAGGTAGCCCCTGAGAGGAGACCATTGAAAAGATGTTTTTTTCTCCCCATGTCAAGCTCTTTTTTCCCCCAGTAACAGTGCACACTTACATAAATGCCAGTTTGAAAAACATACCTTGGTTTCCTTTTTGTGTTTCTGTATTCTCAAGCTTTTTTTTGTGTTGTGATTTGAATTAACTTTTCTGCTAAATCATACTTCATAATTTTAAGTACAGAATGGAAAAGTACTGCACAAATGCCTCTCTATCCAGTATGTAGTGATGTTATTTGTAGAGCAGCCAAATATCTTTGAAATCCAGGAGGTGCTTATCTATTCTTAGGCTTCTCATTTAAGGGAATTGGATTTAGAGTGCTGCTAATGAGATTAAACTAATCTTAAACTAATGCAGTTAAAATTAACCAATCTTGCTTTGTTTCTTTTTAATTATTAACAAACGCTTTCTGAGATAATTTAGTTTAAACTTTTCTTGTGTATTGTCAGCTTTTTAATATTCATAAAAATAGAAGTACATACTACATGACTGGAAACTGGGTGCAGGTTCCAACGTTTCCTTTGTTTTCCGGTCCTTTCATCTGATCTTTTTGACTGCAAGCTCCTTAGTGCTACTACACCTTCTGGATAGTAGCAAAATAGCACTTCTGTTTAGCTGGGGCTTCTGTACTTAATATGTAATTCTCCAGTCATATTTAATGGTAACAGTTGAAACATGCTTAGTTGTGTTAATGGAGTAAATATTATAGTAATACCAGGCATTCCCTTCAGTTCCTGACTCTGCCCTTTTATAAAATGGCAGGAACTTTTTTCCCCACCAGACTCTAAAGTACTTTTAAAGTTTCATACGTAGTCCAGAGATGAGTTATCTTAATTCATATTACTTCTTAACTGAACCTTTCTCTTTCCAGAGAACCTATTGATAATCTTACCCCTGAAGAGAGGGATGCTCGAACAGTATTCTGCATGCAGCTGGCTGCAAGAATTCGACCAAGAGACCTGGAAGAATTTTTCTCTACAGTAGGAAAGGTAAGGATGGAGGTTATAATGATTCTGAATACCTCCAAAAGGTGTCCTAGTACAGGATTAATACTCTACAGAATTTTAAGCAAGTGGCTTTCTGGAGCTTCGTGTGCAGGTTAAAGGGGGAATCAGTGATGGCCAGCTAATTCTTAAAGGCTCTGAACATGAAAATGTAATGTAACAGGAGTTCATTGCTCAGCAGGTGATGTAAACCATGGGAATGCAATTCTGATTTAAACAGCTTTATTTTCCAGATATTTCATTCTTTGGCAGATAGTTCTGCCACTTCTACTGTCATTAAAAAATTTAACTTTTAATTTTTAAAAACTTCATTTGTTCCATCAGCTGTAAGGTTCTGGCTTAGTGTTACAGTGCTGCAAGTATTCTGCTGTCCTTTTTCCTGTAGCATACTGCATTTGACTTGGAATAGCAGCTATTAATGCTAGCTTGCTTCTGTTAAGATAGCTTTATGCTGCTCTAGATTTGCAACATAATTACAAAACCATGGACTTGGCAAATAATTTGGTTTCAATTCCTTACTGGAAAAAATGGACTGCATTGTGGTTTTTTTTTAAGGCATTAGGTTCTTTCTTTTATCTCTAACAGGATTTCTGTCCTTGCCTTTCAGGTTCGTGATGTGCGAATGATTTCTGATAGGAATTCCAGGCGTTCAAAGGGAATTGCTTATGTTGAATTTGTTGATGTTAGTTCAGTGCCACTGGCAATAGGACTAACTGGACAGAGAGTCTTGGGTGTACCAATCATAGTACAAGCATCACAGGTAAGGAGTTATAAACCTCAACTTTATTCTTGTTGAGCAGTGTTATGTTTGGCTTGTAGGAAGACTTTACTGTTGGAAAACTTGGTTACTGTTGAATGTTTGGAAAAGTACCAGAAAAGATTATTTAAGCTAATGGTAAATGGACCTTGTTTCCCATAGTTGACAAGCAAATTACATCAATTCAAAGTGATATAAATGCATTTTGAAAATACAGAAGAAATACAGTAATAATGAACCTGTAATAGTGTTACAGAATTGTAGTGTATGCTTTCCAGCATATGTAAAAAGTTGTTAATTTACTAGATAGAAGCTAGAATTCTGCATCAAGTTACTTAGTTTGAAGGCTTTTGGAAGTTGTGTCTCTATTCTTGGTCATGGGCTTGGATTTTGTAGGTTTTAAAGTCAAATTGAGAGTGTGCAGATTATAAACCAGCTTGTATGTTTTAGTGTATCTGCTAGGTGTGTACTGCTTATGTTAAGGGGTGCTATTAAAGTCTTACAGAAGGTTTTTGTTTTTTCCTTAGGCGGAGAAAAACAGAGCAGCAGCAATGGCAAATAATCTGCAGAAGGGCAGTGCTGGTCCTATGAGGCTCTATGTGGGATCATTACACTTCAACATAACTGAAGATATGCTGCGAGGAATTTTTGAGCCATTTGGCAGGGTACATTTTCATTTTTTGGTAGTTCTTAAAACCCCAAATTAGTTGTAGAGTACTTGCAGCTTCTGGAAATAATTCAGCTTCACACCTGCAGAACACTTCTGCCTTTTCCTGCTCTTCTGTTCCTGTACATCCACAGAGCTCTAAATACATAGTATTGGAGAAGAGAACCTTGATGTGTAATGTGCTCCACTGATTTTTGAATGGCAGCTTTTATGAAGGAGAGCTGAGAATTTGATGAATACCTAAAATTACAGAACAAAAACCCTTACAAAACCCAATTCCTACATCGTATCTGGCTTCTGCAGCTTGTAAATATGTTCCTCTGACATGATTGTGAATGGGGGCCCCATGTCACAGCTTAAAGCACAAAGCACAGGATGGGGTCTGAGCTCTGTTCACCGTGAATGTAGTTGTTTCATCTGTTTCTGAGGACTTTTGCTCATGTTACTAACACACACTGGCAGTGTGTCCCATACAGCTTGACACTGGCCCCTTCTCACTCCTGTTCATTAAGCCCTAGTTTGCAGCATGGTAATAATGTCTTTTGTGTAAAGAGTAGGTTGAATAGGAAATTTCCAGTGGAGTCGTAATAAATGTAACCCTGTTGTGTTAACTAAGGTATCATGAGCATGTCATTGTTAGTTAGGGAAAAGGTAATGTACTTAACATGCTGCTTGATGGAAGGAAAAAATAAGGATACATCAAGTCCATTGATGTCCCTTTCATACTATCTTTGGATCTTAATCTTGCCTCATACATACTGTAACAGCACTTTTCAGATGCTTTGTTCAGATGTGTATCTCTTGAATTCTGTTGTGCAGAAGCCTGGAAAATTGCAGCAATTTATTAAATATGAATCCACCGTTTCCTCTCAAGGTCTGGCAGTGGGATTAATGTAGTTTAGGAAGCTGACGTACAGAGCTGTGAAGGTTTTTCCTTCTATTGATGCCATGTACTTGAGTCTAAATCTCACTTAGTTCTGTGTTGCTGTCTTTTCCCAACACTTGGGAATTGGCTGTTGGAAGACTTAGTAATACGTTTTAAATTGAGATCTGTGATGTAAAAGTTCCCATATGCCAGTAACTATTTAAAATATACACCTTTTTCTAAAAGTTCCTGGTCAAACTCATGCAAACTGCTTTTCTTACCTTGTGAAATGGAGTTCCTCAGCCAATGAGATGCCATGACTGTAACGTTCTGGATAGGATTTGATGATTGTCTGCTTGCTCATTGTCTGGTGGAATGTTGCATAACGACCAAGCCTCTGCCTGTAGATGATCTTAAAGGACAAATTGTGCATCACCCTGCTGGTTTAGTATCAAAGTCCACAGCCAGCTGCCTGTGCACTCATTTGACTTGAGGAAGGAATGAGGAACTGATTAAAAGTAGTTTCACTTTCATATATGTGTATTTGGCAGGGCTGTATTCAGGTTTTGGTTTGATATTCCATAGTTTATTCCAAAATGCATGCTAATAAATAGCTGTCTTTTTACTTCTAGATTGAAAGTATTCAGCTCATGATGGACAGTGAAACTGGACGCTCAAAAGGATATGGATTTATTACGGTATGACTGTCAGACTACTTAGACAATTTCTTAATGTAACCTTCCCATGTAGTATAGCTTATTTGGCACTCTCTGTTAAGTCTCTACTTAGAAATGTCATGTTGCAGGAGATGCACCAGTGGCCTTTTTGTTTGTTTCTCACAGTTCTCTGTGGGTGTTGTGGTTGAGCAGTGCACATGTTTAGGATGGAATAGTGTACTTTGTGTCAGTGCCTGATAAAGCAGTGCTGTCATCTGCAGGTAAAGATACTAGTGAAAAAAGACTGGTATTTTCAACTTTCAGTTGAAAACAGCTTTCGTTTTACCCTCAGATACATAATTCTGAACTTGGGTTTATTGACTGACATGGCAGTTTGTGTGGCTCTTGGAGGCAAATTAAACCAGAAGCACTGTATAGCCCGTATTTGATGGGTTTAGTGCTGACAAAACATTTCTATATTTAATGAGATGTTACACAGCATAAAGTAGAACATCTGTTAGGAATAGCCAGTAAATGCATAGCAGTTAGAGGTTACAAAGGAGGTGGCTCATTCTTGGAAGGTGTTGAAAGACAACCGCAGCCATGACTTGTGTTGACTGCAGTATCTGGATGCTCCAGCTTCAGCAATCTAAATTTGTGAAAGTAAATACCCAAACCTGTATGCATTGGGTTTAAATGGAAAACATGAAGCACACTTAAGTTAGTTTGTAGCTATTGTTATCTTAAACTTAGTGTTTCTCATGTTTATGTAGCTGGATATTACATATGGTAGAACTGTTGCTGAATCCTTTAGGCTGTATTATTGAATTCGTATTTTTCCAATCTACAGTTCTCAGACTCTGAGTGTGCCAAAAAGGCCTTGGAACAACTCAATGGATTTGAGCTGGCTGGTAGGCCAATGAAAGTTGGACACGTAACTGAGCGCACTGATGCTTCCAGTGCCAGTTCATTTTTGGACAGTGATGAGTTGGAACGGACTGGAATTGATCTGGGAACAACTGGTCGCCTTCAGTTGATGGCAAGACTTGCAGAAGGTATGTGTGATGATTAACAGGAAAGGGGTGGGAAATACAGAAGCTTGCAGGGTTGGAGTTGGCACACCCCACAGTATATTATGCTAAATATATGAAATGGTATTTTTAAGCTTTTGACAACAGTGGGATTTGTGATATTGCATCCCTGAGTGAAAATGGCTTGCTATAAAGTACATTCATCTTCTGCTGTAGGTACTGGTTTGCAGATTCCCCCAGCTGCACAGCAGGCACTGCAGATGAGTGGGTCTCTGGCATTTGGAGCTGTGGCAGGTAAGAAATCACCTATTTATTCTTCAGAAATACTTTATGCTTTATAGTTTTGAGACAAGAGGCACTTACCTACATTTGGTGATCTTTTAAAATGGGAACATAGGTATTACTGCATGTTTTACAAGCTGTAAAACAGTGCAACTCCGTGAACTCATAAACAGTGACAGTCTATGACAGATTTGGGTGTGATTCACTTCGCATTATTTTTTGCAAATCTGTTGTAGTTCATTTAATCCATCCCCAGCCTTCATCTCTTTATCTTTACTATTCCCCTACCAATTCTACTGGAGTGCAGATGTTGACTGTTAAGAGTAGCAGGCTCATAACTGGAAAGACATTAACCGCTCTGAAAAAACAGATCTGTAGTGTTAGGTTTATACAGTGTGTGTCCTGGTGAGGAGGGACACTGTATATAAAGGAATTTGTGTGTTGCTTGGAATTGGCTATAGTTTGTGTGTTCTGCAAGTGGGTATGTTGAAAGTGTTACTGAGACTTTGTGAGAGGGGATGAGGTTGAAGATGCAGGATTGCTGCTGCTAGGTCATAGCTGGCCTAAACAGCAAACCGTTCAAGACGGCTTCAGGACTAGAGCAATAAGTAACCCAGGAGTTGAGGAATTACAGAGTGGAATTTCTTCTTATTTTTTTATTAATGCAAGAACAAATGGCATGAAACTGTCGTAGCAGTAAAAAAAGATGTGAATGTCACAAATAACTAGATGCTGGAAGGTGAGAGAACTGTTAGGAAATCAAAGAGCAGGGGGCATTGTTCTGTTTGTCTTCCAGCAAAGCATGACAGAAGTGATTCAGGATTAAAATACACCTGAATCATGTTACCAAAGTTACTCAGGTGCAGTTTGGAGAAGAGCATACACATGAAATTGTAGACATTTGCTAAAAGAATATAATGGGGTCTCTCTATAGATATCCCCATGGGAGGAATAGGAACTGGCAAGTGAAAAAAGTGTGGGTTGAGGAATAGGGTTTTTTCTATTTGAGAAGAAAAAGGTGAAAAAGACACAGGGGCAAGGAAAAAGTGTATCCAGTGCAGGAGAAGGAAAGATAAACAACACTAGAGATAAATTGCCTGTAACATAGGTGACAGAATGGTGTGACAGGCTTGCTTAGAAACAGGTATAGTCAATGAGAAATCAAAACACTGATGCTTTTCCCACCCCCATATTAGAAACAAAGAAGTCCAAAGCCCCAAATCAGTAACATGACTGAAAACGTGTGACACAGCTGAACTGTTAGGATAGCATGGAATCAGTGTGAGACAATATGGCTCTGGAGGAACAAGTGATAAGGCCAAATACAGGGTTTTGAGGAATGTGCATGTTCAGAAACTAGAAATGAAAGTGGTAGGAATAGTGGTGTTTGTTCTACTTGTATTGTACAAAAGGAGTAATGCAGATATGTGCAACTTAAATAACTTTGGAAAAAAAAAAAGTTTTTTACTACCATAGAGTCATGAGCTATCCCCAAAGTGAGATTTGGTTATGGATTAAAGATCTCTTTACTCTTATTAGAGAAAATTACTACCAGGAATTATGTCATTGTGGGAGACTTTAACTTCCCTGATACAGATTGGAGAAGAATTGCTAGTAATAATGGTGGGGCCCAGATATTCCTGGATGTGATATCCGACAAATTTCTTCATCAAACACTCACTGACTCATGAAGAGGGGATGCTATTTTAAACTCAATTTGGTAAGTAATGAAGATGTTATGGATGAGAATAGAAATGACCATTGACTTGAGGGATCATGAGTTGCTCAAGTTTAAATGGAAGGATAAGTAGGTCTGTAAGGCTTCTGATTTCTAAAGTGGTGGTTGAAGAAATGAGGCCATAGAGTCATCTGGTCTGAGCAGCTTGGGTGTTTGAACAGTGAGGATGTAAAAAGTTTCTTCAGTTCCAAATTGCTAATGCTATATTGGATCTGTATTCCACAGAAAGAAGAAACAGTCCTGTTAGAAATGGGCTCCACACCGCACTGGGTGATTAACTACCTCCAAAGATATAAGGAATAAGCTCAGAGCCTATGAAGAAGAGGAAAAAGGACTGATAATAAACCTGTATTTTTAGCTTGGGGAGTAGTAAAATTGAGAATTACCTCATCAGATTTAGGCCTTGTAAAAGACATGAAAGCATAGATGAAGGTTTACCAATTCCTGAAGAGAGCAAAAAGGAGGCAGGGCTCAGGTTGAACGAAAAAACACTTCCAGGGTGTTCCAAAAGAGTCTCACTGCCTCGGTTTATAGCAGGGACACTGGTCATTAAAGTTTGGAATTTGAGGATGGTTAGCTAGGAACATGGAGAAAAACCCATTCACAGGGTTAGAAGCAAAACTGAAAGCAGGATCTCAATGTAGTAAGAAAACTCCCATCAAGTTAGTGAGGGAATAGGTACATGAAATACGAGGTTTGATACCTAGTATTGTCAGTAAGTATTTTAAGTGTGATACAGTATATAGTGCTAACATCTAAATTACCTACGCTTAAAAGGAAGGAAGAACACCACAGCCTGGCCAGTTTCCAGTCCTGTTACTCTGGCTTCACTTCTCTCCTTAAAAAGCCATACTGAAGATGGGTGAACTGGAGAATACTACTAAATACAGCATACTTCCAGAGAACCTGCATTTAAAGGCTCAGTCTTTGATAAAACTGAGTTTCTTACATGAGGAGCAGTAGTAGAGCTCTTCTCTCTGAACTTTTGACTTGTGCCATTCAGAAGTTACCAAGCTATACAAGTGGGTAGTACAGGAAATACAAGATGTGTAAAAAAAGCTGGCTCAAAAAAAGAGAAACTGTCATTTTTGGAAGGTCCAAGGCTGTTGTTGAAGCCAAAATTCAGGTGTTGGGCTGATCTTGTTTTAATATTTACATAAATAACAATAGTCAACAAGAGTGTATGAGTGAGGTGAGTAAATACAGACGGGCTGTTGATAAGGCATTCTTGGGGTGTTGTACATTGTTCACCTTTCAGGATTGAAATGCATTCTAGTTGTATAGCCTGGGACTTAGGAGTGAAGGACAGCTAAGGAGGAGGAAGATAGATCTAAATACTCCAGTTCATCAGTGAGTGAATATGAACTGTCAGCGTGCTGCGTTTTTGGAAGGGCAGCTGTGTTCCTAGAGGTAGCATACTTGAGCAGCTGAGATGTGAAGTCCACATTGATGAACAGTTCTGATCACCCATGTTCAAGAGGGGTTGAACCAAACTAAAGAACTAGTTTTACAGGAGACCTGACAACTTGGATGTTATTCCAATGGAGAGAATTCCAGCAGGGAAAGGAATTGAAGCAGCAGCTTGTAGTTCCTGCTCTTTAGTGAACTGTCTGAAACTCTGGAACTTAAAAAAACTATGCTATAGGACATGCTTCTCATGCTTCGTGGCACAAAACATCCCTTACTTTTGGTAAGGAACTGTCAGTTCATGCAAAAGATAAGATAGTGCCCACGGTAGAGGGGCAGATAGGTGTTATCATCCACAACCTCTCTCTGCTCTGCTGTTCTGTTGTAAGTAATCACTTGAGTAATGCTTGGCAGGCTGCAGTTTATTAAAAGCTAGTTGTGTTTTGAATAAAGATGCAACTTCATTTTAGTTTAAGACACAAAATGCTTTCATAGATATTTCTGCTTTCTCTGTGCTAAGCATGTACTTCTCAGTCGTGCTGAACAGATTGTATGTACGGAACATGCTGAAGAAGGTACTTTGACCTTAACGTGACAGGTGTATTAATTTGAGTTTTTACATCCTGTTTAAAGCTGCATGTGGGGAAGATTAAGAGGTGACAAGGAAGAGTGACAGTCTAAATTCCAGATGAATTTAGAAGTGAGAGGAGAGGACCATTCTTCAGTCTTGAGCAACAAGAAAATTCAGTTACTTGAAGAACAGGATTTATGTTACAGAGGTGGTAGATAATGAACCTACCAGACCTGTTCCTACAACGTACTGGTAGCAGATGTGTTTAGAACAGCTGTGACTAGGCTGTAAACAGAGCTTGCACTGGTGATCTGTATAGATTTGCCCCATTTGAGGCTTAGTGACACTGGTGAGCTCAGTTGTACAGGGTGTACCTGTGCAGTTATGCCAGAATTGCAGAGGAGGGGTCTCTGTCCTCCTCTAACCTGAGGGATGTAGGAGATTTGGGGGGGTTATTAATGTTTTTAAAACACATTTATTTGCAGATGAGTTTGGGTAGTGATTAACTAGGTGAAATTAATTATAGATGGGGCCAAATCCATGCTGTTTGTGCAGAGAATACAGGTGAAGACAGTCTTACCCAGTATTGATCACTCCATGGAGCTGAAGATTTCTTTATGTTCAGATCCCTGTGGAAAACATGCTAAACATAGCCAATTCCTATTAAGTTCAGCCTTCCGAGCTTACTCCTTCCCTCTCTTGTTTTCAGTATAGTTCCCAATACATGGAGTTCTGTGGAAGTCACTTAGGAAGGAATATGAGGAAGACTTCCTCAGTGAGGCAGAGCTCTTGCTGCCTAATACTTAGAGAAAAAAAACAACTCATTCCGGTTGGCTCCCCAGTGTTGTGGAGAAGGGTTTATTAGGGGAAAAAGTATCCCAAAGGATACCTGACACCTTTGGGTCTTTCCAGGTAAGCTGGGAAGCTTACTTGGGTCTGTCACTTCACTGCCTTCTAAACAGGGGAATAAAAGCTGATGGTTAACTTTAGTCTTCTAACTAAGTTAGGATTTGTGTGAATTGAAGTGGAAGTGAAAAGGCTTATGCTGATGCTTCCTGCATTCTGGAGTTTTCTGTTGGTTTAAAGATAACAGGCATTAGAGTCATAACTTGGAAATGGTTAAAAAGTCTCCATTTGTTCTGATTACTTCAGACTGGGACAGCTCCATGTTAATTTATTAAACAAGACATTAGTGGGGGTTTTGGGGCAAATTAAATGTTCTGAACACTTGAAAATGTTTTGCATTGCAAAAACCCCAAAGTAACTTGTGTCATTACGACATTTATATGGACGGGTAACAGGTTCAATACCTTCTTGTTCTACTTGAAATTGCTGACTGCTTTCGGAGTGTCATGTTGGGACAGTTCCGTGCTTAAATGCTTTCTGTTAGTAAAGATTCCAAACTCCCAATGCCTGTAAGAATTGCTGTAATTATTTCCTCATGGAACAAAATACATCTTAACAAGAGAGATCGAGCACAGCAAAAGCAATGAGGAAATTACATGTTGAATTAAGGGACATGGTCATGTCTTTACTTTTAAGGTATTCAGTCTCTTTGAGATAAGCTTGCCTCTGGTTATGGAATTTCTGTTGAGTACAGAATATTCCAGTTGAGTAGCTGAAATCAGTGAAACCCCTCACAACTAGAGAGGAGCAGTGAGAGTGGGTTGTGGTACCTGAACAAGCTCTTAACCACAAGAATACTGCTAAAAGCCTGGCTGGCAGGTGATGACACAGCAATGCACACACACTAACAAACTCTGTATACTCTTTCTTTAGATTTGCAGACGAGACTATCTCAGCAGAATGAAGGTAAGCAGCGTTTGATATGACTTGTCCCCAGTGAGTTTTGTTGTAGGTGTCTAGAAGTGAAATGCTTCTGGTACAGAGTTTGGCCACAGCCTGCGAAATTGTGTTGTATTAGTGTCTGCAGGAGATCAGTCTGATTATGGACTGTAAAAACCAGAATGTATGTTAAATACTTCACTCTTTCTTCATAACATGTCCTAAGTGTTGGTAATGCTCCCCAGCCATACCTTAGTCCTTAAAAATGTGTGGGTTTGGGTGTGGGGTTGTTTCCAAGGGGGCAAAAGTAGGGATATACTTTGAAGGATAACTCAGCATGCTTAAAATACATTTGGAGGATGTACAGAAATGTCTGTTCCTTCCTTTGAAGCCAGGTGGGGTGGTGCTGCTCCATCCTGAGCTGCTGCTTGGCTTCCATGAGGAGGTGCTGCTGGCACACAACTTGGCGGAAGTTTTAGATGCATTGAAGATGCATTGACATATTTACATTGAACATCTGCCAAGATCCATGTACAGGGTTAGCTCTTCACTTCTTGGCTTCAGCTGTACTTCATCTGTGCTGTTTCTGTATTGATCTATTTAAAATTGCCTATCATAGATAAGGGTCTAGCTACAAGGTTGCTTTTCTGCCTTCAATTTTCTGTTTAGTTATAACTTACCATTGGATGTTGTGATTTTTAAAGCTTATATAAAGATACTCATTTATATTGGAGCCATGCAGAGCAGGTTCTTAGATCTCTTACTGTTTTCTTCCATTACAACAGTTCTGGCTGCAGCTGCTTCAGTACAACCCCTTGCAACACAGTGCTTCCAGCTTTCCAACATGTTTAATCCTCAGACGTAAGTGATTTATCGTGGTCTGTGTCTGTTTGCCATTTGTTGATGACTTTAACATCTGAGTAAGGAACTGGAATATGGCAGAGGGTTTTTTGATGGGTTTTGGGTTGATTTTTTTTTCTGAGTGATAACAATTCCATCTCTGTCCTGTTTTTCCTTCACCCCCTACAGTGAAGAAGAAGCTGGCTGGGATACAGAAATTAAAGATGATGTGATTGAGGAATGTAACAAACACGGAGGAGTTATCCACATCTATGTAGACAAAAACTCAGCTCAGGTATGCCTGGTTCCTGACTTACTAGACTGGAGATGAGCTGCTGTATGGTACATAAAACCACATTCAATCTTTCCATGCACTTCCTAACCATGAGGATCACTGCTGTGTGGCACTGCTGAGCTGGTGGGAGGCAGATGTGGTGTATTGTATCAGAGAAAACAGAGTGCCCTGTGATAGGTAGGGGGGAGCCCAACAGCAGAAAGACCCCCAACACACCCCCCCAAAAACACTATACCCCCAAGCCCAAAAAAACCAACAGCCCTCAACATAGCATCACGTAGGTTCTGAGCACATGGAGCTGCAAATCTGGTTCACATTAGCAAGTGGATTTAAAAGGGAAAACTATAGCTACTGTCTCATGAGTTAGCTGTTGGTTAATGCAGTCCACTTTGTCGTGGTAGCATGGTGGTGACCCCAATATAAAATACCCACTGATACTTAAAACTCCTGTGTTTGAACATGAGTTTCCACTGTGCTGTTCTGTTTTCCAGGCTTAGATTCTGGTCCTGTTACCTATTAAGTGTTCCCATTTCCCATCTCTTCGGGGCTCTTTCCCAGACTTGTCAGGCTAAGGGCTGTTGACATTCAGCTGTGAAGATGGGCTTTGTTGTGAGTGAAGAGACTGTGGTGTGTTAGGGAAAGCTAAAGGTTTATGTTGCAGTATCTCCTGTCAGGGTTTCAGCAGCTCCAATGCCTGCGTTGGAGAGAAAACAACTCTGTTAATTGCTTAATGCCTCAACCATCAGCCCCTGATCCCAAGTTTCCCCCTGAGAAGGAATGAGATCACAGTGGGAAGAGTTAGTCCTGGCTGACAGAGGCTGCTAAAGGAAAAGCCAGATTCTGTTTCTCAGTACTGTGAGGGTGGTGAGGCACATAGGGGTTGCCCAGGGAAGTTGTGAATGCTCCATCCCTGGTGGTGGTCAAGGTGAGGTAGGACAGAGCCTTAGGTGACATGGTTTAGTGTGAGGTGTCCCTGCTCATGGCAGGGGGGTTGGAACTGGATGGTCTTAAGGTCCTTTCCAACCCTAACTATTCTGTGATTCTATAATACATACTTTTCCTGTAAAATCTGTTTCAGTTAGAACCTGATCTGTTCAAGAATTACTGGTAGTAGTCTCTCTTTAAGCAGGCAGCCAGAATAATGCATACACATTGGTGTGGGTGGCTGTGTCTTGAAGGTACTGAATAGGAGTGTTGCAGTGCACTGGATTAGGCTGGTTTGGTGCCTTAACATGTCACTCATGTTAGATACTGTCCTAGGCTGCTCTTGCCCTCCTGTGAGGGGATTTCCCCCTTTGTCCCAGTCCTTGTTCAAGTAGAGTTCACGTAGCAGTAGTACAGTACTGGTCTTCCTTGAAGCAGCAGACATCCTTCCAGCCTGGGGAGTGCTTAAGCCCTTTAAAAACCAGGCTGTGAACTTGCCTATCCAGTTAAGTGTGGTTCAGGCTGGTGACCTGCCCAGCGGGAGGCCTGGCCTGCAGCACAGGTAGCCAAGCTCCTCCTGCTTTTGTTTTGCACCAGCTCTTTGTGGAGGGTTGTCTGAGCAAGTGAGCAATCACTGCTCGCTCATTGTGGGTCAGGCCCGCATTAGTTCTGCTTAGCAAACTGCTGCTCAGAGCAGTTTCATGCCAAGGTAGCAGTGTGGTAGCACATGCCAGTAAAAAGCTGTTTTCTCATGTCAGTCTGAGTTACGGGGCGGTCACGGCAGGAGGAGAGCAACAGGTTTGCCTCTGCCACAGCCTCTTCAGCACAGGCAGTGCTGGACCCTCCTCAGGCTTCTCACAGCTCTGACCCTTCTGTATTACAGGGCAACGTGTATGTCAAATGTCCTTCCATCGCTGCTGCCATTGCAGCTGTCAATGCGTTGCACGGGAGGTGGTTTGCAGGTGAGTGGCTTCCACACAGAAACCTTTAGTTAATGTAGTTCCTTACAGAAATGACCAGATACTGATGCCTGTTGTTTCATCTTCTGATCAGGTAAAATGATCACAGCAGCGTATGTACCTCTTCCAACGTACCATAGCCTTTTCCCAGACTCCATGACTGCAACCCAACTACTGGTTCCTGTTCGACGATGAAGATGGATTTAGTCAGTTTTGTACATAGTTATTTTTTGGAGGAAGATTTGAGTTATCTTTTATTTAGATAAAACTAAAGGAAAGGATTTAATGTCATTTTGTGTACACTTCCTGCTACCTTTAAAAATAAAATGAAGTAAGCAGAAATGCAGTGTGTTCATTCTCCCTAACTAGCATTTCCACTGTATACAAAGCTGTTGACTTCTTGTTCTGCCTTGTAATTCTTGTACATTGACTAAGGTGATCTGTAGGAACTGAGAAGTAGCTCATAGAAAACAAGTTCTCTGTAAAAGGCAGATGGGACATAATGACATTTTTAATGTTTCACAAAGCCTTTCTTTTAATGCCGCAGTTACATTTACACTTCACTAAATGTAGGTGATCTGCTAAGGGTTAATATCAGAGGTAGACGTTCTGAAGGGACATATTTAGTGTTTTGTATAAATGGAAGATTCACCAGGCTACTGAAAGCTGACTCCAGGCAGCCACTCAGCTTGCTTTGTGCTGAATAATTGGTAAGAATAGAAGGATTGAAGGGGTTTATTTCTTGATGGTAACTTTTGATTAATGTATCTGTAAAAGTTTCTTTGTAAATACTGTGTGAGGTGTGTCTAAGTTTCCAAACAAAACGATCTCTGCATTTCCACAGCAGTCTCTATGTCCGCCGTGGGGCACAGCTGAAGGATTTCAGCCAGGTTTGAAAATGGGTAGGAAATACAGAAACATGTTTTGTTGTGGTTGCATATAATCTTTGCTCTTTTTAAGCTCTGTGAGCTCTGAAATATATTTTTGGGTTACTTCAGTGTGTTTGACAAGACAGCTTGATATTTCTATCAAACAAAGACTTTCATATTGCAACAATCTTTGTAAGAACCACTCAAATAAAATTCTCTTAAAAAGGCCTTCACGAAGCTTTATTTCTCCACTGGACTGGAAGTGTTTGATGGGTGCTGTGATATGGAGGTGGGTGGAATGTCACCCTTCCTGGTGCGACCCCACACACGCTCTCTGCTGCAGCCGTGGCTGTTCAGGAACCTCTTGTGCCCTTTCTCAAGCTCGGGCCTGCTGCGGGTCCTTTTGCCCTCCTCTGCCCCATCTTTCACACATGGTCATGGAGTGTGAGGATGGAGCAGTCATTTAGTTGGTTGTCCTCTCGCTACTCCTTTCCTACCTCCTGTCACTTTTAACTGTGCCTAGTACAAGGGATGGTTGACAGTGGTGGAGAGTCCCATGGGTGGCAGGGGTGCTGCTGGTGCTCGGGGCAGGAGGTGGTGGTGACCTGGGCTCCATCAGTGCAGGTTGCTGTGGCTGAGCTGCAGAATGGTCTTGGGGAGCAGACAGGGATGTGCTGCCAGAGGGGTTTGGCAGCGTGTGACCCAGCTCAGGAGCACCACACAAAGCTGCTTTTTAGCTTGCTTTGACTGGGGGGGGTTTAGTTGCCAGTTCAGAGTAAAACTGGAGCTTTTCGGAGCAGCTGTGCTGCTCAACTTGGTTGGTGGCACTGTTCCACTCGGGTTACTGAGCCACGAGGCTTTTAGTGGCAAATGGGTGTTTTCCCCCTTAAAAACTGGGGAATGGCACTTGTACCAGGTACAGGTTCTGTGGCTGCTGGCTCAGGTTCTGCTGCGGCTACCCTGTCCTAAACAGAAATGGAGGAGCAGCAAATATAAGCCTGGTTTCAACAGGCAAATCCCAGGAGATGGCAACACTGAACTAACCATGGGCTAGCTCAGCCCCAGGCAGGGCTGCAGGGAGTGATCCCTCTCCCTGGCACCTTGCAGACCTGCTGAGGGGGAGAGGAGGGTGTCCTGGCAGCACAGCTCCTATGGGTGACCCCTTCCTATGCCCAGGGAGCTTAAAGAGGCACTGCCAGTACCTGGTGCTGAATGGAAGTGGCCACCACAGCTTCAGTCTTCCCCTCAGCAGGGTGCCCTGTAAGTTGGTGCCCTGCAGAGCTTGGACACATGATCTGTCCTGAGGGCAGAGCTGCAGGAAGGGCATTGCTCAAGGCCTGAGGAGGTTACATCACCCGCATCCGCTGTCCAGGTCACCCTTGGGACTCGCTGCAAGGATGAGTGCTCACAGCAGGAGAGGGGTTTTCCATTTCCCAGCAGTTTTAAGGATTTGCAGCTCCTGCAGCATGGCTGTACCTGTAACTGCTCTTCCCTGGCTGCTGCCTGCACCACAAGCTCCCGGGCTGGTTGGAGCCCTGAGCTGCTGCAGTTTGCTCTTGGTTGCAAAGATTTGCCCAAGTCCTTCTGGGCTCCCTCGCTTTTGCCCTGTATTACTTGGAAATGGGGCTGACTTCAACCCACCCATGTGTGCAAGGGAGAAAGCTGACGGTTGAGTTGAAGTAGCCACAGGTAACTCCCCTAGACTCAGGAACACCAGTGCAACAGAGCAGCTCCACATCAGAGCATGGGGCATGAGAGCTGCCCAAGTACCAAAGGGAGAAATGGGAGAGCTGAGCTTACACCTGTGAACCAGGAACTTTAATGTAGTACAAAGGATCATCAATTCTCATCCTCATGGGAGTAGGAGATGGGAGGAAAGTAGAAATTTGGTAAAAAGCACGTTTACAACCAGCAGAGCAAGGAGATGGTGCCTCATTCACCACGTCACGAAGAGCTCTTGCTTCCAGGTATCCAAACATTTTATTATGGTACAGAGGAGGAATGGCTGAGCGGGGGCACTCCGGGCTGGGAGCCACGCTCCAGGTTAGCAGCGGATTCCCATGCCAATAGCCATGAATGTCCCAAACGTCCCACCACTCTGCATCATCGTTTTGCCGACTCCTCCCACCAGCTCTCGTCCTCTCATGCCAATCCTGAGGTGAAGAAAAACACAGGAATTACACAGAAGCTGAAGCCTGTAACAGACACGCAGCAGAAAGCATCCGGTACAACCAGAAAATAGGTGCTTGAGCACCCAAATCAAACGCCTCAGTCTAAGTGACATCTGCTTGTGCAGGGAGATGCTGTGGTGCCCCATGCTTGAACTACAAAAGCAAGGAGCTGCTCTCTTTGTATAGCTGTGTCATTCAAAAAGGACAGAACGGCTGTCACTGCTTCCTCTAAATACCCATGAGCCGTGTTTTCTGCTGGCACTGAACCACCTACAGACACTCCAGGATCTGTGAGAGAGCCATAAATGTTAAACGCTGTCAGATTCGACTTTGTGTCTCTGCCTCCTCTCAGGCTCTCTTCTAAACCATAGCATCACTGAATGGGTTTGGGTTGGGCCATCTCTGTGTTTAATCACAGATTAAAAAAGCATGAGTTCTGCGACATAGGAAGGAGCTTATTTCAGTATTTCCTGTCCATGGTTGATGTGTGCCAGCACCAGGCAGCGAGGAGCCGGCCTGGAGCACCGAGTGTTGGTTATCCCTGTGCTGGCTCACCAGGAAGGTGCGGTATTGCCTCATTCACGATGGGATTGCGCCAGTGCCAGCCACGGCTCTGCCGCCTCTCTTGCCTTTACCCCTCGGGGTCAGTATGGGAATTGCCTCCATGCAGGGAACAGGGCACCCAGGTCCCTGAGAGCCTCAGGGAGCTTCTGAAGGAGGAGAGGGCCGCTCGTGTGCCTGCACAGAGCTCCCGCTGGAGCCACCTCCCACAGCCTCAGCGCCCAGCACAACCTCGGCATGAGCACAGGCAAAGCTGGGTCCCCCCCACGGAGGTAACGCCCCATGTCCAGAGGGACCCGAGGCCGGGGCTGACACCGGGCTCTCAAGGCAGAGCCCTGGCAAAGCTTCACCTCTGCGATGGCAGCGGCGGACCCGCACCTCCCCTCCCAGCCCCAGAGCACAGGAGTTTCTCCCTGCCACAGCCTGCCCATGGGAACCGTTCCCTCGGCGTACCTGAGGCAGGAAAACGTTCCGAACAGCGCTCCCGCTGCCATGCCCACTGCAAAGCCCATCATGAAACCCATCTTTACTCTGTCGAAGCAGCTGGGCTGCGATTGCCCGTACGGGCCCACGGTTACCGGCATCTGGAAACACAAGCACAAACCCATGGATTTACTGCTCGGTCTAAAACGCTCCTACAAACACCCCGGCCTGGAGGGGCCCGGTGACCGCGGGGCCCAAGGCTCTCAGAAGCGTTTCTCCGCTCGGAGGCAGCGGATGGGCCGCTCCGGACCCCCGGGACGAGGCGGGGCTCACGCCCCAGCGGCTCCCCGGGCAGCGGCGGCCTCCGCCCGGCACCGAGGCCTTCACCCGCCGCGCCGGGGCCCTCAGCGCCCGCTTCACCTCACGGGGCTTAGGCCGGAAGCCCCGCACCGGCCCGGGGCCCCCCGCACCTCGCTCGCCCCGCGCCCTCCGCCGCTGCCCGCTCCGGCCTCCGCTTCCGGCGCTCTCCGTGACGCTTCCGGAAGGGGCGGGCAGTGGCTCGGGCCGGTGACGCCGCCATGATGCTGTGGCGGCTTCGGGCGGCCCCGCGGGCGGCCCTCGGCGTCCGGCGGCTCTCGGCCACTGCGGCGGAGCCGGCACCGGGTAAGGCCGCGGTGGGGGCGACAGCGGCGGGGCCTGGGGCGCGGGCGGGCCTGGCCGGCAGAGCTCCGTGCGGCCGCTGCCGGCGGTACCTGACGGCTCCTTCCCTCCGTTCCCTCAGGGCGAAGCGGCGATGGAGGCAGCGCCCTGCGGCCGCTCTACATGGACGTTCAGGCCACCACCCCGCTGGTAAGGGCCGGGTCTCGAGATGCCACCGTCTCCTCCCGACCCCAGAAGGGCTTTGACCCTGGCCAGGGTCCCGCACCTCCGCTCCTGCTCTGCGGGAGCCGCAGTTGATACCCGCGGGGATGGGCGTTGCTTTGAGGGGCAGCGAGAACTGAACGTAACCAAAATACCTGGGTAACTTCCCGTGGCTTTTTAAGACCTTGTATTTCTCCTGCTCAGAGGAAAGGCTGGGTTGGACAGGCCTTGGAGCAAGCGACTCTATTGGAAGGTGTCCCTGCCCGTGGCAGGGGTTGGAACTGGATGAGCTTTAAGGTCTCTTCCAACACAAACCAGTCCATGATTCTATATGCTCAGAAAACCCCATTCTTCTGCGATTGTCTTGATGCAGATGGAGGGCACAAAATGTAATTGCCAGACACTTGGCTTTGCTGGAGGCTGTGTTGCATATAGCATGTAATAACCTCACGTGTTCAAGATCTGGCCTGAGCTACACCCAGACACTGCAGGAGCATCAGTGCTAGTCCTGGGGCAGGGTGTCCGGAGGGGACGGAGATGCTTTCCCTTCTCCGTGTCCAAGGCTGGGTGGTGTGTGTCCCACAGGATCCCAGGGTCCTGGACAGGATGCTCCCGTACCTGACATCGTACTACGGCAACCCGCACTCCAGGACGCATGCCTATGGCTGGGAGAGCGAGGCTGCCATGGAGAAGGCAAGGAAGGTGAGTCTCTGGCTCTCTGCAGTGGTTTTCCTGCTGGTGAGGAAGTTCAGTGTTGAAGGAAAACCAAGAGCAATGCAGGTAGCTCTCTGGGGGCTGGTTTAGCAGCCTCCTCCTCATGTAGCTCTGTGGTAGCAGATTTATTGCCAGAAAAAAATAGTGAGATTAGAGGAATTGAAATGGCAGAAAAAATACTTCAGACTCCCTGAAGTCACAAAGTGCTGCAGCCATTGGGATAACTCCATTTTGTATCATTCTCCTAATCTTAGGTACGGGATTTTGTAAATTGTTTTGAAAGTAACACATCCTGGTGTTTTGTCTACTTAACTTTTATGTTCTTTTGTGGCAGCCTAATGCTTAACACCACTACTGCTGGTGACCCTTATGTAGTTTCTATTAATGCAGCTATTTAGACCATTGTACCTGTAGCACAACTTCACTAGATACAGCTGTGACCCTTTTGAGGCTTAAGGGGGTATTCTTGAGAACATTTTGCATGTTTTTTTCGACAGT